CTTGCCTTTGAATAAAGGTGTGCACTAAATTTTACAGTGGGTGATTTGTGCCACATGAAAAACAACAAAGTACAAAAAGTAACCGGGCGCCGGATGAAAACATGAAAATACAATCTACCACAAAGTGGTTCGTTTGTTGCACTTTCATGTTTTCGCCCGGTGCCCCTGATGTAAAATACAAATCAGCCTTCATAAAATTTCTTATCATAGAAAAAAAGTTAGTTTTTTATCTGTACAACAAAATAGATATTGTACATACATAAGTACAGTTATGTTCACTTTTAAACTGACCGGTTATAAATAATGGCACGATCAATAACTGTCTAAGCCCTTTAAAGTTAAAATAATTATAAAATATATATATTGTTATTTTGATTAAGACTATGAGTATGTAAGATTTTTTTCCTTTTTTTTAATTAAGAATTAATCTACCTGTTAATTTAAAAATCTAAAAGTATCTGTCACGGTTTAGAACTGTTCACTATTTAGGGGAGAAAATATGTAAGCGGCCGGATGGCACAATCGCTACAGCCGCGGTACATTATTCTGTGGGACACAGGTTCGAGTTCTGGTCAAGCTGAAAGTTTTTCTCATCCTGTGACTGCATATAACCCTGAGTTTAATTCACTATGCTCTGTAAACATCAGAAATTCAAGGACACAAATCAATATAATAGGGAAATATGTTGTGGTTTAGAACTGTTTGATTAATAAAGAGAAAATATGTAGCCGGCCGGATAGCTTCATTGGTCTTCTGACAGTCATGGGTTCGAGTCATGGTCAGGCAGTTTCAGTCAGTGTTTAGAAGTGGTTTTTCAACTGACACATGTTTGATTCATTTAACAGATTGTATCAAATTTGAAGTGGACAAAGGCAGTATTGCATGATACTAGGCATTTGATACAGTTGATCACACTATACTGCACATGAAAAAGTTCTTCTTATTCCTCATGAAACTTCAAGCATCTGCCATAGGTAATGACATTCTTACATAGTTCAAGTCTTATCTCTTATAGACAGCAGCAGGTGGATGTGGCTGGTACTCATTCTACTACTGCTCCGAGTAACTATTGTGTCCCCCTGAGATTCATTTTATGTCCTCTTTTATGTCTAATATATGTCAATGACATGTCTGCAACCCTAAGCAATTAGCTTTTATTATATGCTGATGACTCAGGTATCATTGTGTCTGGTAAAATAAATCTGAAGAAATTCTCTCTTATGGCATGAGTCTTATAAGATTGGTTAATTGACTATAAATTTTCTTTGCATCTTGGCAAGACAGAGTCTATTCTTTTAAACTGGGCCTAGCCTCCAGGTCACATGTAATGGTACTGGCTATAAAGTACACATCTTTTGTTAAGCAATTAGGTGCAAAACTTGAAACAATTTTTTTGGCGTCGCCTTTGATGCTTTGCATCAATGCTTTTCTTGTGTTTAACTAAAGTATCGGCTGAATATACTCCTGCTTCGTCATAGATATAAAATTTTAATGTGGAATCATATATATAGAAGTTAAAAAAAAAGTAGATGCGATAAGAATATACACAACACTTGAAAATTCAACATGAGCACACGCTTTTAGATGGACACATGGAGATTTCGTGCCAAATGTGCTCCTACATTCAAAGAACTTCTTATAAATATAAAGATAAATAGATATTATTTTGATCTCCAAATTAAAGAAACAAAGCATTATCCCCCAGAAATTTCAAATCACTACCCTTCACAGTTAGTAAAAAGTTCAGTTCAAAAATATACATTACCATATATTTTTTTACTTACAGTAATGCTCAATTTTTAGCAGGCCCTTTGTATATGCTCTTCGAGCTCGTAACAAGTTTATTTTTTTTGTGTGTTGACTTCTATTCCTTTTTCTCTTTGTACAAATTCTTCAATGTTTGAATATTTGTTGTATTCTGTGAAAGTGGAGATCCCCCAAGAGCAATATTACAAAGCAAATATATATAGTTGACACTTGCAGTCTCTATTTTCTTTGGAGTCTATTCATGAGAGATAATAAATTTTAAACCCCAATTCATAATTTCTGATATAGGTCCTTTTATGTTCTAATGTTGTTTAAAACAGGTTTGAAGCTTAAAGATTAAAGTCAAATAGATAAGTGAAAGCGTTTGTGTAGATGAGCTACGCAATGCGCGAGTCAGTGATTTCCCGCTAATATTACAAAATTTTCAACAAAATTTGTTTGTGTGTCAGAGACATAGGTAAAAGTGTTTAGTACATTTAAGATAATTATTTAGTGACGCGGCGGTCAAGGTGTAAAACAGTTATTATTTTTGTATTTTACATCTTTTTACAATATAAAATATTATCAACTGCCCACGTAACGCAGTTGGTAAGACTGTGAAAATCAATGCAAGGCAGGTTCGATTCGCAAAAAAATATTTCTGTATGAAGAATATGTTTTTTTTAACTGTGTTGTGTTATTTTAAATTACTTCTCATTTCACTTACTTTTTTCTTTTGTTTTCAATGAAGGCATATCTAGCAAGTTGGTGAAACCTTATACTGCATACAAGTACACAAATTGTTTCAACTATAGTTTAGTTGGCACGAAATACTCGTGCACTACACGAGTACTATGATTACTACATACTACACAAAACACAGGCCCGGTATATCAAAATTAATCAAAAGATATTATAACAAAACTACATTGATATTCCAATTAATTTGCATCTATTTTAAATTTTTTTAAAATAATAGGGAGAGAAAAAAAGAAACATCTGAAACGTGATAAAATTGTAAGACGCATACCAACGACTTTACCAACTTTGCCATGAAGACCTTCCAAACAGTTCTTCTTATCTTTTATTATATTTTCTTTTTTAAAAACACTATTTTAACTATTCCGACAATGATTGTAATATTTTGTGTACACAAACATTGCAACGTCACTCTCACATTATCATAGCGGTTTTAGTACTGTTATCTACAACTCTGTTTATATTCATTATTTTACATATAAATGGTCAGACACTCACATTAATATTCTCATAGACCTACATTATAAGAAATGGTCCCTAATCCCATTTTGTTTTATGCAAAATTACTTCAAAGAGGATTACTCCCCATTTCATTGAAACTTTCTGCTGATCACAGGACTGATATACAATTTTATAAATGCAAATATTCAAGTCAAAAAGTATCATAGAGACTCATGAAATATTTCATTTTCTTCAGAAAACAATATAGTGTTCCTTTCTCAATTAGTTTTTATGCCTAAAAATACCAAATATTTTATCCAATCACCTCATGTCCAATTGAATTATACGTTGTCCCTGTACTTTTTTCCGCCAATCGCTGGCGGTGTTACAATGCGATTCTCTGACCAAATCAAGGAATACCCCCCCCCCCCCATAATTCAAGAAAAAATAGAAAGTAATATGAATATATTCGAATAACCTGGAAACAAATGCAACTGAGAACTGAAATAGAGAAATGATGAACATCCAACATGTATTTTCCCTTTTTGTATTTTCTGAATACAAAGCTGACATTCAATCTCTGACACAACTAGTTATATCTCCTAAACATGTTTTTATTTGACCTTGAACAACTGTGTGTATTATTTTAATTATAGTAATATTCTTAGATGCATAATAATACGAAGCAATATCAAAGAGATTTGTGTCTTTCCACTGCCGGGAGTATATTAATTCTAATTTTGAATTATTGTTTTGCATTATGGCAGCAATATTTGCATATATAACAAGTTTCTATTCATATCGTTTTGTTTTTTTTAAACTTTAATAGTTTTGTAAAACCAACAGTAAGGTCATATTAGGTTTATCTTTTTTATAACTTACACCTGTACAAACCTTTATTAGGCATTGTGTATTCCATCAAATTAAGGTGGCATTTCTTAAATGTGTATATGTTTTAGAACAAGATAAATATGTTAAGGTGTGAGTTCTTTTTCATGCATAGTAGATTCTATCTAATAAGGTGATTTTTAATCATGTTATTTACTTTTTCATTAATGTAATGTAATCTCATAGCATTTATTGTCGTTGTAGTTGTCAATATAAGTGTCTTACTTTTTCTTGGCGCTTATCTTGACACTTAATCATTTTAGTATATATAATTGCTAATTTTTTTGCAATATGTCTTTTCTTAGAGATGACAATCTCTAAGAGCAGTGTTCATTGAATTCATAAGTAACAACCACAAGTTTGAAAAAAATGTAGAAAGTCGTGTACACATACTCTTTGCTTTATCTCCTAACAGCGTTGGCAGCGTTTGATAATTTAACTGAGTTGCTTACCTAATTTGCATGTTTGTTTTTTTTCATTTTGTTCTTTTTGTACGACATATTTCAAACACAATGACAGAGACGAAAAATAAAAAAAGAATCATTTACCTAGTTAACCTGTTTTTGTCTTTACATACCTTTATCGAAATATCGGTTACAACTAAAGTGTATACTTCTTTTCTTATAATGATAAACTACATTATTTCATATCCTTATTGATAGTTTCCAACAAGCTATTCTTATTAGTAGAATTGCGAGTAAAGATAACCGGTTGCGTATCTCACTGTTAAATGGTCTGACTTGTGGTAGGTTTAAACGTAATGCTAAATTTTTTTAGTGTCAAACAAACAATGTGGTGAAACATATATAATAAATCATAAGCTTTTTATTGGTGTAATGAATTTTAAAATCGGAAATAAAATCGCCCTAAACTCGTGCACTGTTTTAGCATTAGAGATGTCTATTACACACGACGATAAGGGAAACAACCCGTATTTTAACACTCGATATACCTCGGTTGTTTACGTAGTTCATATAGCGTCTGTCAATGGGTGTATTAAGTCCAAAAATATAAGTATATAGTTAGTAAAAGTGTGGTGAATCAAATGCATTTACTTCCTTGTTCATTGTTCATTTAAATCATCTGTAATCTTATAAAAGGACTGCACAACATATTCAGTTAATTCTAAATATATCATATTATCTCACGAACTTTTTTATACTTCCTATTACTCAGGTTAAATAGAAACGTAGCTTACATTCAGATATTCTCCTGGTGATTTTGTCATACGAAAGGTAATCTTGTTTTATATTTTTTATAATTTTCTAAGTGAATTCGATAAGAAAACATATGAACAAAATAGACAAAAGACATTTTAAATTGATTAATATAAGGCATTACATTAAGATAAACACTGTGTACAAGTACAACTTTTCCATTTCAAACAAGCATAAAAGTGGTCGTGATAAAGCAGCCTATGACTGTATGTCAAGACGAACAAGGTTCAGTAAAATTATGTAATCTTATGTATCTTTTTTATTTTCTATAATCCGATTTTAACACAGTGTAAGACAAATATCGGTGGTCCATACACCTTACCAATTTTACAAATTGGGATGACGTATCCGATGCTCCGACCTACTTAGCTCAGGTAGTAAATATAAATTTATTGATATGATTATTGAAAACTAATCAGATGAACATAAATATTAACAAATTGATAATTCGGATATGATATCAGGTATCAGTCATAATCGGTGTGATATCGAACGTAACCATTAAGAGCACCCATAGTCATCCATAAACCATATCCAAAAAAATACAAAATTGATTTGTTCTCCTCTATGATTGTTATCAAGCTTTAACAGTTATTTTCACTACAGTGCTAATGCAAGCAAGTAAAGCAAAATTGAATGAATCATTTAGCGCGTATCGGATCTTTTCTGTTATAATGCTATTTCTATAGGTTAATTTAAAATTCGGGCCCTGTTCACCTTATTTTTATGTAAAACATCTGCTGTAATAACAGAGAACATATAAACGGATGTACACATATAATGAAAAATAATTTATTAAACAAAAACTGACACGTATGAAAAACAAAGTGAAAATTTGCTTGTATATACTAAATGTTACTTCTTTGTATTATGTCTTTTGCAATTATTGATAAATTGAGTAGCAGTCATTTAATAAACATTGCGTTTATAACATGAAACAACAGTATGTACGTTAGCCTATCGGAAAAATGTGAACTTGTACTGTTGGAAATATATTACATAAGACTCTATTTATATAAAATATCATCGGAAAATTGATGGAAAGATGTGTTCTTAAGTATCTGTATAATCATCTAGTCACTTATAATTTGCTAACTCCTCACCAATCAGGTTTTATAAGAGGTGACTCAAAAGTAAATCAATTAGTTTACCTATACAATGATATTTGTCAAGCTCTCCATCAGGGTAAAGAGTTGATGTTGTGACATCTCCAAGGCCTTTGATCGAGTATGGCATCAAGGTCCTCTCTACATGCTATCTTCATTGGATGTAAATGGACCGCTTATTCAATTGGTTTCCTCCTATATGTCTTCCTGGCGACAAAGAGTCCAGTACAGAAATGTATCCTAAGCATGGGTTTCTATTTCCGCTTGTGTACCTCAAGGTTCAATTTTTGTTCCCCTTTTGTTTCTTGTCTACATCAACGACATTGTATATGACATATCTTCTAACATAAAACATTTTGCGGATGACACGAGTTTGTATATAATCGTAGATAACCCACTTACAGCAGCAACCGGTCTTAACTAAGACTTAGATCGGATACACTTTTGGGCTTATACTTGACTTGTTTCTTTTATTCCAGAAAAAAACAAAAACAATTACTTTTTCAAGGAAATTATCTAAACCGTCTCATCCTACACTTAGTTATAACTCTATTCAATATCCCAGGTCACATCAAATAAACATCTTGGTGTTACTTTATCTCATTATGCACGATGGAAAACCCATATTCATCTATTACTTTATAAGGCCTGGAAAAAGAATCGGACTTCTCAGAAGTTTTAAATTTCTTTTATCACGAATAAGTTAAGAACGCATGCATTATTCATCCGTCCGCCCACTTTTTGAATATGCTGATGTAGTCTGGGATAACTTAACTGACGAACTAAATAAGGAAATAGAACCCGTTCTAAATGAAGCAGCTAGAATAGTCGCAGGTGCTACCAAACTGTGTAATATTAACAAACTCATCAGTGAACTTGGGTGGGAATCGTTAGAAAATAGAAGAAATAAACACAAATTAATCGTATTGTATAAAATGAAAAACCATATATCACCTTATCTTTCAAATCTTCTAACCCCCACCCAACAAAGAACATATAACCTTAGACATATTGACTATTTAACTCCAGTTCCAACCAGAACACATTTATACTCAAATATATTTCTACCTTCTACTATTCGCACCTGGAATTCTCTTCCTGAAACTCTTCAATCTAGTCAAACTTTAAACTCATTCAAGTCCAACATAACCCCGAATATCAAAAGACCACCGTCTTACTATGATACAGGCACACGTAAAGATCAAATCCTTCACACAAGATTAAGATTAGGATGTAGTTCATTGAATGAGGATCTGTTCAGAAGGTCTTCTGTGGAAAGTCCAACATGCACATGCGGAATGAGAGAAACTGTATCTCATTTCTTATTGCAATGTACCAAATACAGAAATATACGCGAAAAATTTCTCACTAATTTAAATTGTCCGTCTACATTAAATAATCTTCTTTACGGCAACGAACATCTCTCTTCTGATGAAAACAAAACCCTCTTTCAGAATGTCCAAAAATTCATTACACAATCGAAGCGCTTTTTGTAAGAATTACTATCAGTGTGAATAGACTTGGTCCTTCCGTACGCTCATATTTCCTAACATGTTAATCTTAATTATTAAACTCCGATATATTCAATCATACCTTTCCTTACATTCTTCCTTTCTTTTAGCATTTCACCATAATTTACCTTAGGTTCTCTATAGTGATAATTCAACAATCAATTATTCTCTTATTCTTTGTTGTACATCAAAGAGCTTACATCTAACTGCAACATTTGAATCTTTATCTTGAAAATTACTTTTACTGGAGAGGAATTGATATAAGTATTGTTTTACCAGTCTGAATTACATTGTTGTGCAATGTTTGTAAATGTTATATATGTACAATTTATTGAATAAATAAAGTTGTAAACTAAAATATCATGCAATAAATAATTTTTCAATAGCAAAGTCATTGACATATTATCGAAGATAATTTTAAAGAACAAAAATACATACTGTAATAATTTTGAAGGGTCATTATTGAAAAACGGCATGAGCAACAAATGAGGACATTTTGCTAATTATTGTACATATATTACAGTACAAAAACATCAAGATAAATTCTGTTGCAATTATGTCTAGGCTAGTCATATATTTTTGTCCGGTTAATTAGCCTATTAACAATCAGTGACAGGTAATTAAGACTATAATCGACAAGGTATACCATACCATATGTAATACGATAATCGCTATTGTGTTTTAAAATGTTTTGTAGTTTGTGAGCTCAATCAAGAATGGAGGAAAGGAACATAAGTGAAAAGACGGAAGAAAATACATGCAACTCTAAGGTAATATCATTATAATAATAATTTTGAAATTGTTTGTGAACCGATGCATGTTCGTTTATATATTTTACATATATGAAAGTAGCTAAAATTTGTTTCCATAAACAAAACACACCGCATGATTTGTCGTTACTAATATGCAGATAAAAGAGTTGTAATTAAATACGGTTACGTGAAATAAAATAATAACGATTTGTGTTGAAAAAAAGTTTTTGTTTCTTGTTAATTCGCTTGTTAGATTAAAACTATATACAATGGTGATCTGTTTTATTCTGTGGAAAACGTCGATAATCCACGGCATACTACAATCTGCCATGGCAAATAAGAACTTTGTATGCATATTTACAAACCTTTAGTGAAGTTATAAAAAACGAAACACATTAAGTTTTAAACTAATTAAATAATATAGCAATTAGGAATAGTTTTCATTTCTTAAAAGGCGTAAAAATACGGGTTGACTTTGCCTGGCAAAAAGAAACCGGCAGCCATTTATTGTTTACTTGAATTTTCTTACACAATTCTAGAAAATAAGAAAATAGTTATAGTTAGGTTAGTTTATATAAAGTTATTTTAATTCGACGTTTTGTAAGCTATAAGCATATCGTTCCGTTCCTGGAACCAAACAGTACTAAGCAATGACTGTAAAGGTTTTAGCTCCCAAAAACTACGGCTTGAATCGAAGCGGTCAACAATCCTCGTCCATGCCGCTATATCTAAATATAGTTGAATGGTTCGCCTTTTCAAAGCCCTTTTGTATACTGCCTTAATGAGTTTCTTGAAGTAAATAATGTATGAAAATAAAACAAAACGGTTAATACAGGTGTTCTCTTATCAAGCATACATGAAGTTGCAATAAAAACTTAATCGATGTAGCTAAAAATAAGTTTTATCGGATTAAAAGATATTTACATTGACATTAAAAGAAATTTTAAGGGTTTATCTAGAAACGTTGAAATACGGAAGGAAGATAATAGCGTTTAAATTCACTATTGGAATATCAAAACATTACATGCAGGATAAACTGGGTGTTATTCGTTATTGCAAGTACTCACGACTATTAAATTGTATGACTGCTTCATTAAACATGTCTTTCTTCAATCAAGTGCATTAGTAATTGATCATTATGTAACGTTCAGTTTTAATTTTGTACACATACCTTTAGTATGCATAATTTATCGTAATATTTGAATCTTTTTACTATTATATCATGTGCAATCTTTATCAAGTTTATGCATTCCTTTTTATGTCATGTATATTTTATGAAAGTATGTGCATTATCTGTTATGTTAGGCGCATTATTCTATATACCAAGCACATACTTCATCTTATTAGTGCACCCTGTGTGCACTCTCATTTAAGTGTGCATACCTCCATTTATTTACATGAAATGTGAATGCGGTAATATCTTTACAAATAATGCGTTTTTGAACTCACACTATTGATAAATCTTCATTTGAGCATCAGATTTATGAAATAAACCATATACAAATTTGAGTTACATGATCTTGAATGGTACATACTGTTTTGTTTCGGGTATTCTATTATTGTAACCCTGGTTTCACTACATATTAATAGATGTTTCAAATTAAATAATGACAATCTTCTTCATAACTTTGTCGGTAATTGGGGGGGGGGGGGGGGTGTATGCCCTTATTAATCATTTCTTCATAATAAGTTAAGCCGAATTAACAAGAAAGGTTTGGAAATAAGGAAAGAAAGTCAGGACAAAAGATAATACATTTACACATTATATAAACAAGTATGCAAATAATGTTGTTAGACCATATTACGATAAAATTTGCACAATATATTTACTCCTTTTATTTATTATTAATAATAATACATCAGTATTCCTGCCTATAACATTTAAGATCTAGATTACAACGCCTTTATTTTCCATGTAGTTACAATATCTGCATAATGTATGCACATTATACACATTGTCTTTAAAAGCGTCTTGTCACATTTATTCCCCTTCCTCGTATGCGCAGACCACCATATTTTTAAATCCTAAGGTCAAATGTGTTGTCTGGTTTATCTTCCCTTGCCCGTTCGAGCAAGTGCAGTACCGCAAAGAACAAACCTTCAGGACCCAAGGATTCCGCCTATATGACACTCTGCTGATTCTGATTTTATATATTCTGTTCATAATGACATGAATCTGAGGTCGCTTGTCTTTATTATCAAGCTATTTTGAATAAATTTTAAATTTAGATTGTGAATATCTTTTTTAACAATGCTAGTTTAAGTAGTAGAAGAAAAAATAGAATCTTTGCATTTCAATAATACCATTTACTTTTACAGAAATTAAAATGTACTCTAACGACATTGGTTGTCATAGCAGTTGTCAGCATGAGTGTCTTAATTCCTTTGGTAGCTCACTGTCGCCTATTAAGACAGCACACGGTCGAATCAGAATGGTGCTCTCCCTTAGACATAACAAGTCAAGGCAACCCAGACCTTCTGGGCCAACTAATAGTAAAGACTGACAAAAATACTGATCGCAACAAAATATGTGGCAAACTGAGTACCATGTTGAAGACAGTTGTTGATCTGGTAATGATTTTCAATTTTTTATCTCGTCACATAATTTTTAATTTAACAAATACCAGCATTTTTGTTTTGGCCCTTGATGTGACTGTAAGACATGTCGGAAAAATAATTTTTATCTATAATAAAACTTAATAATTGCATGTTAAGTGTTATATAAATGATGTAAATAGAAATTTAAATTATGTTACGATCATTCAAGTAAAATGTATAGTAATAAATATATAATTGACACTGTTTTTTATGTTTTACTATCATTCAATATTTTAGAATATACATGACAGCTACGACAGTGACGCTTGTCCAGGTATGTTTTTTCCCTTCAACCACCATATTTCCGAAATAAAGACAAACAAATAAAATAATTTACTAAACTTGTAATTTGTATGTAGCACCTGGACAACCGGCTGAACCGGTACAATATATTCAAATTAACGTAATTCATAATCAATGAATACATTATTATATTTGACTATAAGATTAATATACCGTTTATGAGACAATATCTTATAAGAAAATTCACTGAATTCTCTTATGAAATACAATAACATATTACCCTAAAGAAATACGTTTGAGTTTAGCCGGCTGCCCAAAGCTGAATGAGCGAAATACACTTACTTATTCAAGCACGTAAACTTCGTGCATCATAATACTTGCGACACCTATCGGAGATATATATCGGACAAAGGGAAATTAATTTTCTACTAATTCATTGCATTCAAACTTAGAAATTTACATATCATCTATGAAAATCAACAAAACACCCCAAAGGTCGCGTGTTCTCCTTTCTTCAACGAATATCATATTTAAGGTAGACCATGGGTAATGCATTACCTCCACTTTGAAGAGTATTCAAATAGGCTAAAATCACTTGTCAGCTACATTGAAATTGAGGGGCGTGGGTTCAAGCCCCAGAAGGGGCAACTTATTTTTCTTTCTTTTTTTTCTTTTTCACATTATTTATGTATCTCTCAGATCCCTTATGGAAGAAAAAAAGTGTTTGATTTAAATTATATAATTATTGTAGGTATTTATTTGCTAAATAATGTCAAATTTAATAGCAAATATGATACCAGATATTTTCAAAGTTTAATAAAATTAAAACTACACACGTAAAAGTATTTTATATTTCGCATGATCAACCAATATACTTTAAAAAAATTTTAGGCAAACTTTGAAAACAGTCCCTCATTGTGGTAAATTTTAGGGATATTTTGAAAAAGGCTTTTATATAGGGAAATGGTCAAATAAGTGTTTATAGTGGATGGGGTAGGGTAACATTTTTATACATATGAAGAACATTTTGTTTAGAAACAATCATTTTGCTCGTATAATTTGTTACCTGAATGTTATTGTTTGTTTCTTAACAAAGAGCAATAGGAAAACATTTTCCATAATGATGATATTGTAGATTTTAAAGAGTCCTCATTTCTGAAAAAAAACTTCTAATAGCAAAGTTTTAGGTCAGAAATATATCCAGAACTCATAAACCACACGGTAAATTTCCTTCAAATTGTGCATACAGGTGACATTTAAGGTATATAACTGTCCTATGTTGTCAATTTTACAGTGCCTTATAGTGCCCAATACCCATGGTTTACCTTAAGTGAAAAATATGAACCAGAGTTAGTAACGTCACTCGCCGCCATCGGAACATCTTCGGTTATTATACATAATAACCTCGGTCTTAATACGGATTGAAAGTAGTTTTAAATGTAAACAAAAATAGAGCTCAGGGTGTAAAGAATTGTATATATTTGACATCTTAAGGAAAATATAGTGTATTTTGGTGAACTTAAGATTGAACATATGTCTCACAATCATAATCAATTTATGCTCACTGACGTACACTTATAACAAAATCAGAATAAATGTAAACAGGTAGATATTTTGTACTTTCGTTTTCTACAACCTCAATAATAAGTATATAAATAATGTACTGTTTACTGTTATATATGTGAGTTAACTTCATTTAGATGGACTTTTACTCGATATATTGGTATAAATTTAGTCTTCAACTTCTAGCATTAAATTAATATGTGTTTGCATGTTTAGTTTCATTGCAAAATCATGATAAATGATATATAATACATTCAACAAAGACATATAACTTGCTCCTTAGTATATGTCATGTGTAACACTTTTGACTGAAAAAGAAAATACATGATTGTGTACATGTTTGTGGTATTTTCTAGTTTCTTCAATTTCAATTTGATATGGTAACAGTATAGTATAATCATCCTAAGAATATGGAACATGCTGCTTTTGACGTCTTGACTTTGAAATGCAGGTTTCATTACATCAGACCCATTTTCAAAATTTAATTTTGTTTAGTCCCGCCCATTGTTTTCTCGTTATTGGCACACACTTTCTTTTACCTGGGGACCATACGCCAATTTTCAGAGAATGGTACGAAAGTGTCACACTAAATGTCTAAAACATGACCACCGTATAAATACATTCGCGGTTGTTTCAAAATAATAAACGTCATTATTTTCGTTTCCTAAAGGTTGAATTGTTCAATTCCGATGGTAACTTTCCCTCCATGAACAGCCTGGAACATTTACAATGTTTGTCGATTTTGGCGTTTTTTAGCGATTACGTTGTTCTCTGTTTTGTTAATCAATAAATTTGGAGGTACAATAATGTATGTCAATCAGGAATAATGTATGTCAATCAGGGAAACATTTAAATTACAGAGCCGGAGATGCTTGGTTTATGTATCAAAGCATTCAACTGTACAACTTCAAAGAAAGTTGAATCTACCTTACATCTTGATGACGTATCCTCACATGCTAAACCAGGTATGTTATTACAGTACTATCATCACATACATGCACGTGCATTTACTAAATACACATTATCCTGTTGTTTTTTCCAACAAGTTTGCAAACGGTAAAACAGTTTTACACAGCATTCAATGGTAAGGTATTTTGTCTGTACCTTATGTTACATTCAAATGGAATATTCTGATACAAAACAGGAATAGTCGGCAGTTTCAGGATTTTTTACAAATATAATCGCTTAAAATAGCAAATGTTAAATGTTTTAACCAACATTAAATAGAATTTTTAGGCCTGATACCATACATCAATAACCGAATGTTTAGGCAACTGACATCAATAATCATTATACATCTAAATATTATTATAAGTATTACCAATATCTTTGCATTGATAAAAAAATCTGGAAGAACGGTGATAGCTCGGAGGCATTTATCGCAACAAAATTACATGAAAATTCCAGACTCGCTTCGATTGAATATGTGCATGAGGGATCATGAAAGTGTGCAACATGCGCCCTAGCACGGGCTTGGTCGCTACTCAGCGTTCAACACTTGAAAGTGCTGAAATGCTTGAATTATTTCGACGGAAACAATTCCAAAGCAAGCCACAAATGAAAAATAATAATTTCATCACTTTTCTAAAAAATAACATCTATGCTTGTCTTAATACCAATACCTGGAACATACACGTACATGTTTGTATCACAATTGTTACTCATGAAATATATTTTTTCAGTTCCTGGGAAAAATACAAAAGTATACTGGAGCTCTTTTACAGATATGATTACACATCATATGGAATTCATCCAGGAGGAAGGAGTTATCTATATCAAACAATCTGGCTATTACTTTGTGTCGTCTTTGCTTACAGTAAGAGCTAACAACATGACCACGACTGATACAGTCAATAACTCCGAGGATGCAATCCGTCACGTTGTTAACGTAATACACCACAAGGATGGGGCTGAACAAGTTCTTCTTGAACACGTCAAATTCATGTGTGAATTATCTTTCGGTCATGCAGAATGGTCAAGTAATATAGGAGCACCTTTTTACTTAAATGAGCAGGACAGAGTATACTTGGCCACATCACATCCATATAATCTTGTCAGTGGTCACAGTTATAATTATCTAAGCATTCATACCATTCTGTAAGACCAAAAAAAAGAGACAAAAACAAAACAAAAACAAAAAACAAAAATAAAAAAACAAGCTAAAAACAAAAATTAATCAAACAACAAACAATAATAAAGACAAACAAAAAGAAAGTATACAATTTGTTATATACTGGACATTACTGTTTTAAATTTTATATATATTTTTTTTTTTTGACATTATATGAGCCACGTCACGACAAAACCAACATAGTGCGACACTGCGTTTGCTACCAGCATGGATCCAGACCAGCCTGCGCATCCGCGATCAGGATCCATGCTGTTCACTTACTAACTCTATTAAAAGTAAAGAAACTGATAGCGAACAGCATGGATCCTGATCAGACTGCACGGATGCGCAGGCTGGTCTGGATCCATGCTGATCAAAAACGCACTATGTTGGTTTTGTCATGACGCGGCTCATATGTGTGATATCTAGTTAATCCTCTTTCAAAATTTTATTTCAATTAGTTTCTCTAATCGTTTTCTCGTTCAGGGCACACGCACTAATGTGTCGTGTAGCATATGCCGCTCTTCATGGAATGGTTCTAACATGACACATTGAAAGTTCCGTGATAACTGCCATATGGACACATCTGCGTATGTTTCAAAATCAAAAATTTTACCTATTCAATTTAAATGTTGAATTCTGCTTATGCCCAGGCTAGGAGGCGTAGACGATAGTTTTGTAATTACCACTACCGTCAATGTACTACATGTACGAGCTGCAACATTTTCAATTTTCTGTGTTTTGCTTTCTTTATGAATTATGTTTTTATCTATTTCTTTACCATTTTGTTTTCTTTATTTGTAATTTGTTAATGATCAAACATCATTTTTTATTAAAAGTTACTCAGAATACACTCGCTATTTGTTGGATATGCTCAACACTTAAAACAGTATCACAGCATCTTCGTAACAATGTCAAGCAAATAATTTGATGCATGTAAAATTGTGATGTTATAAACATATTTACCAAATCAAAGTTTAATTTCCATAGACATTTCTAAGACATGTGTCTCATTTAAAAGAATTATATTTATAATGGAACATACTACCGTGACGGTGAATTATATAGACACAAATCCTATGTAAAATGTAGACGTTTTCTCGAAAAAAAGGTGATTTCTGAATTACAAATGGTTATAATTAATCAACCTTGTAGATATGGTTGACATCTAATAGTCAAATTTCTATCGATGTATGTACATTACGCCAATGTTTATAAAAATCACCAAGACATCTCGATTCTTTACACTTAAATCACTACATCTGTCTGGGCAAAACCCAATTTGATAAGTTTTTTTGTTTTATTTTTTATGCTTTTTTTATGTTACTTCGAGCAAAATAAGGATTTCATATTGACCCTTTTAATTTAAATGGACAACAAAAGTTGTTTGATCTGAAATTTTGTTTAGACCTGTAAAATGAAGAACGAGGCTACATGAAGTACAACTATAGTGTTGAGATATGGAATTTGGACTAGCAAAATAAACAAAAAGATCAAATTGATGAGATTGGACCCAAAACTTGTTAATACAAGATCACCTACCATCATTGGTAATATTCTACTAGGTTTGAAATAAATATTATTTATGTAAAAGTATGTGAGCATAGAATATAAGGCAGAAATGATAAAATGACTACACAAAAATGCTCGTTAAATGTAGCAACTTGTAACATATAGTTTGCCAATCTTAAATCATGTTTGTAATCACAAGTAGATACTATCTTTTCAGGACAAAAACAACATTTAGTGATACGTTTTTAAAATATGATAAACAAGATCAACAAGGAAAGGCGGCGTTCAATGAACGCAGCCCCACACGATGAAGCAACAAGAGCCAATGGCAAGGATCCCAGGAGGACCCCAAACAAGCCTTTAAATGACTTTTAGATACTTATCCTTTTCACCCTGCAAATTTGTTTTAAATGTCGTTGTAATTGAAAATATATTTTGATGTATTGTTTAAATGCTTTAATTTTACTAAATTAAATGTAAAATCATATGTAATTTATGATTTACATTTTCGTGAAAATAAGATAAGAGTTGTATACGCTATAATAGATAATGCATACCAAATGAGAATCTTATAACCCTTTCCTTTTATGTTATAAATTATTACATTTATATATAAATGTAAACGAGACTTAAGCTTTTTTAAAAGAATTTTGTGGTTGAAATAATACCTTGTCCAATTGTAAAAGTCTTTGTCACATTAACTATTCTAATGTCAACGGCCTGTCATTAAATACGACCCCGTCTTATCAGAGTAATGTGTAGGAATTCAAAACAAATAATAATTCAGCCATTAATAATGTAAGTGTTCAATGAATCAGCGATAATTCCTTTAAATTTGTCGCTCGGCTGAGATACACCGGAGACATTTGGTTTCAAAAATACTGACCTATACCGAATGGCATGTGTTTTGTCGAAACATGTTTCGTCGAAAACAAGCCGTCAGACTTATTTAAAAAACAAACAAACAACCAAAAACATGATTGCTTGCCTGCTTGATTGATTGATTTAATGGCTGGTTTAATAACGGACTGAATGATTTGTTGCTCTTTCACGTGTAAGATTTTACTTCGGGCTCAAATATTCTATTCAAAAGATATGACCCATATACGAATTTTGGTAACATTGGTGAGCCTCATTTACTGTTTACATATAAAAGGTTTATGTACATATATCAATAATCAATTCCATTTGAATGTGGCCAATCAGCTCTTAAACGCTAGGATTGATCGATGGTAGATATTTGCTGCTATATTGTTAAAGGAAATAACAGCAGGGTTTAGCTGAGGATTGACCATACTTTCGAAAAAAATGACAGTAATATAAAAGTTAAGGTAATTATTTATTATTTTTCAAACTATATATGTCAGTTGTATATCAGTTGTTCAATACATTCACAGTGTCATATTTCCCCTACGATTATCAAATTTTAAAACATATCATCGAACTGGAACATATCAACGATTATTTATATATTCAGATACTTAATATATTACATTTTTAAATGTAATGTACATGTAAGTAAGGTCTAACTTACATTGAAGCAAAAGGTGTATCAAATTATGATTTAATTTATAGATCTAATGAGGTAACTGAATAAAAGCGTGTGCGAATTCTTTCAAATTGCACCCAAAGGTTGATCAGGTCTTCAAACAATGTGATCAGAGAAACATTCTGTGACTGTGTACGACGTTTATAAAAAAAATAAAAGGAGGTTTATTAAGGACATTCAGTACGACCAACTTGTAATTACGTATCATAGCACTGACTTGTTATTTCAACAAAACATTTTTATTCTCCTCAGTTCTAAATAAAATCTTTTTTTGAATGCATTTAAAGAATAAATCAAATGTTGCTTTCAAGGCTTATACAACATTAACTTCTATACATTTTCAATACTTTTATAATTAATGTTTGAGCAATTCCATTTTATAACATTCAACAAACAATTTGCCTTTTCAGATTTAAAATTGATAAACGTAATTGTTTTATTTTGACCAGGGTCATTCTTGTAGGAATATTTATGTGTGTGTGTGAAACTAAGATACTAATTTAATGATTGATTTAATACTAAAACCAGATTCTTTATCCGAAAAATAAATAAATATATAAAACAAATAAAATAAAAAATGGAAAATTTAACTGGACCTATATCTTTAGGTAGGAATAACGCTATATAACTCTTTGTTCGTGCATCACTATCTCCAATAGTTTCCGGACTTTTTAAATTTATTGCTCGGACTTTTATAGATGAGAATTAAGCCATTGTCTCTTGATTTGTTTTAGTAATTAATTTGGATTTTACTTGAGGCTTATTCATGCTCAAATCAATATCAAATATTATCAACCGATATTTCATTATATATACAAATGTACAGTACGTATTTCTGTTTCATACATGGCCATTCTTGCAGAAATTTAATTTAAATTGGCTTGTATCGTTTTTTCAAGGGGAATAACTGGTGTATTATTTTGACGGCCCTATACAAACGTTTGTTTTGAAGCGGCTCGGGTTATATTGCAACCGTTTACATAGTTACGTCAAATCAATTGTTAAGAATATACATAACGAATTTATAATACTGAATTTTTTTTTATAGAAAAAGTAAGATTTCTACATAAAATGACAGCCCTGTATATTTAAGAAATAATATCGGTCTTAGCGTTGTCTTAGCGTTGTTTATCGGCTTTTTAACAACGGTTTGGAGTTTTGATGCGTATGAATTGGCCACGAAAGTCGTAGGCCTAGGTGGTTAATTTTTTCGCTTCAAAATGACAAAACCGGTGTTAATTAGCCGATAAACACCACTAAGACCGATATTATTTCGATTCTAGCACGATAAAATAAGGAAGATCACTAATGTTATTTTTTCAAGCGAATTAACTTCCGGTGCCGATTTTCGTATAACGCTGTTCGATTTTCGCACCCTACTGTTGCGAAGATATAGAAATTATTAAACAAAAGAAATAATAAGAAAAAAACAAACAAACGTTATTTTATCAAGTTTTCAACAATTAAAAACTTACTTCTTAGAATGGATTGTATTGTGTTTACATCATTGCCCCATTTATCATTCTTGTATGTATGAAATAACTTCAGCTTGTTTATGAATGAGTTGTATACTTAGGATGACGTCATTACCATGCTTATGGATTGGCGCCGTTTTATCAAAATATTTATTAACTGATATGGAGCAAATATGTGGCGTTAGTGAACTATTATTTCGGTATTGTATGAGAAAAAAACATTTTAAGAACTGAAAATATAAATAAAAATGTTTTTTATTGTTGCTTTTAAAGGCTTTGTAAACTAAATAATCGAGGGTGAAAACATAACAGCCGCATAAACAAGTAGTCCCTAACCAGTGTACATTGGCAGTTTAACATCAGATTTGTATTTCTTCTTTGTCTATAGTTACAAATCAAGTGGAGTGTTAGAATAAAAATTATCAAATTGAGGGGCTGTTTTCAAAGTTTACCTACATATTTTTCAAAAATATACCGGTTGACCTTGTGAAATATTAAATACTTTTGCCATGTAGTTTTCATTTGATTAGACTTTGAAAATATCAGGTACTATATTTTTATTCGATTTAACATTATTTAGCCAAATCATATACGTTTTCCCTTCAAAAGGGATATAAGAGAAACAAAACTATTGTTAAAAGAAAAAAGGGAAGAAGTTGACCCCAGTGAACCCACGACCCACAGTTTCAATGCAGTTGACAGTACTTCTTGTCTATGTTAACACTCTTTAATGTGGAGGTAATGCATGAGAGGGATAAAAACTTAGGTAAAATAATAAAAACTATGGAATAACTTTTCAATATGGCTCCAACTTATTAAACAACGAATCTTCTTAAGAACAAAAAGCATTATTAATGTTATAATTGTTATTATAAAAATATCTTATATAACCGTTAATTTAAATGTAAGTTGCCTTTCTAACCTTACATTTATTTATAAAATAGTATTTAATTGTATCATGTTCCTTTCAGAAGATACACCTACGTGGTACGTTTTAAAATGTTGTTATTTGTTATTCCAGAATACCTATAATTAGATATCACGCAATTTGGTTGCAACATTACACAGAGTAAA